GTATGCCTTAATGTGAAAATCAAATATACCTATCTATATATATTATATTTCCTCTTTTTAATAAGAATTTTCATATTTCATTTAAAATAATAAAACGTTGAAATTGTTCCAATGATTCTATTACAATTTATTCATCATATTTATAAATAATTATGTCATTTATAAATATGACATATTCGTTCTAACTCTCATTACTGTCATTAATACATTAATATTATTATATATTACAACGAATAATCTGGATCATGAAGAAAAAAATTATAGTTTCATAGTTTCTTCTCATTTTATATATATGTATATATGTAATAGTTTTATATACAATATCCTCTTCTTCATAGGTTTATCTCTCTTCGTTTCTTATTTGAAATCTGAAATTTTCTAAATTCGTAGCGACGAACATGATGTAGTCGACGTCGTTCGTCATGATTATTATAGTGTCATCATGGTCATTTTAAAATCGTTGAGGAAATTCTCTTGGTTAATAGGTTCATCAGAATCTTTAGTTAAAAACTATTTTTAAACAAATTACAATTATTATTAACTATTATTAACTATTATTAATAATTATTATCGCTGTGGGATCATTAGATAAAATAAGTATGTATATAGATTGACTAAGTAATCAAATTCGTGCGACCTTGATACGAAAAAGTTCAAGCGGACTCGTCTATATGTCGACACGGACAGAGCAAAACAGAAAGAGAGACAGAGAGAGAGAGAGACAGAGAGAGAGAAAGAAAGAGAAAGAAAGAAAGAGAACAGCAGTAGAGTTAGGCGCCACTCGACATACGGACACAGTATGTGTGCATATGTTGTGTTGCATGTAGTCGACCCAATGGATAATAATAAATTTAGCGACGATTAAAAAAAGGTCTGTTAAATTTTTAAACGTCGGACACGACACATATGCATGCACGCATGTGCGCACATAGAAATCATTGAATATCTTTTCTGTATCTACGCACTTGGCTGAATTTCGAGAATCGTAGTGTCGCATTACTACTAGCGTTACTTTTATATAGTAATAGTTTACTTCTTCCATGTGTATTACAACACTCTACGGTTACATGCGACAATACGCTATGAAATGTGTAAGTGAGTAAGAGAGAGGGAAATAGATAAGAAAGGATAGATAGAACAGAACTTTGTATGAATTGTGACCTCGAGATTTGAGATTTGTGTAGTTGTGAAAATACGGAAGATGGGTGGGGAGTGTTGATGAAGTAAGAAGAAAAGAGGGAGAGAAAGAGAGAAAGGGATGGCGCGTGACATAGAAGGAGGGAACAAAGATGGTGGCGGCACCAAAGAAGTAGTAGTAGAAAGAGTAGTGGGGGTCTAGAAAGAAAAAAAAGAAAGAAACAAGCCGAGCCGAGTCGAACCAAGCCGAGCCGAGCCGAGCCGATTTGTTCCGAATTGAGCCGAGTGTATACGAGTCTACATCGGCAAGCTTCTTGGACCTAACTTTACTATTTCGTCGTATATATATGTGCGACGGCACACGTATGCGTGTGCGTGTTTGCGCGTGCTGCGCATGCGCGCCACGCTTTCTCGCCGCTACTGCTACCTGTCGATTCTAACCTCAAACGTCAACGTGTGCAACGTTGATCTTTCATTTCGCGTAACATCCTGAATTTAACATCGCGTTTCGCGCGGTTTTTTCTACCGTTTAGAGAGGAGGAAGGAGACAGACATACAGGGAGAGAAAAATAGAGAAAGAGAGAGAGACAGAAAAGATTAAAAGAAACTAAGGGAGAGAAAGAGGGGGGAGAGAACAAGGGAGTTGACTTACAGAATAAAAAAAGGGGAAGTGCTTCGCGAGCTTGATTTGGTGATAAAAGAAAAGAAAAGATAAGAAAAAAGAGTAAAAAGAAAAAAGTAAAGTTAGGAGAAGAGGAAGAGGAATTGACATAGGCTTGCTGGATATATATACATATATATATATATTCTATTGGGCGATGCGCCAGAAAAGAGAAGAGAACGACCGCGAAAAGAGGTGGAAGGGATCTCTCAGAGAGTCGAGGTTATGACTCGGTCCGATGAAGTAAGTCACACGCGGTTTATTTTCATTCTTGCCGGTTCCTTCGACGGGAACATTTCTCCCTGAAAGTAACGTGTAAATCACAAAAATTAGAATTGCGTCGTGAAAATGAAATCTAATTAACAGAAATAAACTAGGATATATATGATGTGTGTATATATGTATACATATGATTTGTTCTTTTTGAGAAGATTAACGATCACAGATCACGACGATTGTCACGAAAATATCAAATCCAAAGGATTTAAGAGAGAGAGAGAGAGAGAAAGAGAGAAATCAAGAAAGCCATAAAAATCACGTAGTTTACTTTCATATTTCGTTTTATAGGTTAGGAAACTCGATGGATGATCCCGTCTATAATAAAAGGGTCTTAATAAAGTCTCACAAGAAAAAAAAATCACAAAAATATTCTTACATATATTTCTTTATAGGTTATGAAAATTCGAAAGACTATTTTTTTTCTTTCCTTTTTGTTCATTTTTTTTTTGTTTTAACTCGATTTTTCACTCTCCTTCGCATTTTTTAGAGTCGTCGTGACTTTCAACAGACGAAAGATTATTTAACAACTAATGTAGTAAAATGTATATATAGGTGCTGCGCATGCGTAGGACAAATGAAACCCTTAAACGCGGGAAAAAGGTTAAGATATCGAGAGAGAGAGAGAGAGAGAGAGAGAGGGGAAAGAAAAAAGAGAAAGAGAGTGTAACGAACGATTCTCTATCTCTGTAGGACGCCCGTCGTCGCGTCGTCACTACCTTATATATACATAATACGCTTGTTTGGTGAGATACTTGTATACACCTATATAGAAATATATTTGTATTTATGATATGTATATATATATATACACACATCATACATATACATATCCACACATACACACAAACACGAGTGTGTGCGTGCATGAATATTGTGTTGGATGGAGGAGAACAGACCGTCTGGCTGGCTTGCGTGGGAAAAGTATGAGGAAGGAGTGGGAGGGGTCGCAACGAGTGATAGGTGGGGGAGTCGGATGGTCAGGGGAGGGGATAGGAGCGTGACGAAGACGAGAATGAGACATGATAACGGTTCGATTCGATCGTTCCTCTCCTCTCCTCTCCTCTCCTCTCCTCTCCTCTCCTCTCCTCTCCTCTTCTCTCCTCTCCTCTCCTCTCATCTCCTTTCCTCTTCACTCTTCTCTCTCACCTCTTTGCCCGTTACTATCTTCGTTTCACAGAACATACATAAATACGTACACACATATACATTATACATATACACACATTCGCATATACATATCGAGAATAATCGATTTCAATCGAAAATAGAATGCATAGGGAAAGATTTATCGACATGTTCGAATTCTTTTCTTATACATCTTAATGTTTTCCTATATTCAATGAAAATTTCCATAAATTTCTTATTATGTTTAATGAATATGATTCACTATATTAATTAGTATACGATTAGTAAGTCTAGTGTAGTGATTTAATTTGAATTTTATTAGGGATTATTTTATATAAATATTTAAATATTCTCCTCTCTCTCTCTCTCTCCATCTCTCTCTTTCTAACGAAACTTTTATGTATGGAACGCTTATGTTTGGAAAATTATTTATTTATTTATTATTATTATTATTTTTATTTATTTTTTTTTTTTTTTTATGAATATAGTTACTCGTATAGGTTATGATACAGTATTAGTATGAGACGATGTTGATTAGAATCGTATTAATGTAAACTTAAGGTAAATTCCTTGTACTTTTTTACAAATCTCACGAAGTTTCGTTTCTTTCTTTTTTTTTTTTTTCGTTATCTTGGATTTGAAGAACGTTTGAAAAGTTAAATAGATTTTTTTCTCTTTATTTTCTTGTACTCTCTCGTGCATAGTTCCTCGCATATAGGTTATGGTACTACGATTGGTATGACGATGTGATTTGTTTCTCCTTTTTCTTTTCTTTTTCTTTGTTTTCCTTCTATTTTTTTTATCCTTCTTCCTCTTCTTTCTCGAATGATCATCGTATTATATCGAACGATGCAACAATGACGTATTTATGTAACGCAACAAAAAGAAATATATATATATGTATATGTATGTATATTATATATTTAAGTGTGCCATTTCTCGGTAGGGTATAAATACGGACGTTGATCTGCGGAGCAGAACGCACTCACAATTTTAAAACGTTTCTCTCTCTCTCTCGCTCTCTCTGTCTTCTCTCATTTCCTCTTTCTCTTTCTTTTGATATATAGTGGGACTTGTGAGAATTTATATATATATATATATATATATATATATATATATATATATATAAAGAGAGATGTTAAGATGTTTCATTTATAACTTAACTTAACTTTTAATATGAATAATCTCGTTCAACGAAATTAATATAAAGGATAGTAAAAAAAGGAAGGAAAATAAAATAGTTTATTTAAGTATATTATATTTAATCGATATTTAATCGATCATGTTCAAACTTGAAGAAATAGGTTAGATTTGATATTTATTAATTTAAAACAATGTATTATATGATATATCTAATTTAACGTGTTGATATGTTTAAGAAAAAAAAAAAAAGAGAAAAAAGAAAGAAAGAGAGAAAAAGAAAGGAAAAAAAAACAAAGGAAAAATTACGTTCAATTAATAAGAGGTTAGGTTTAATCTTTCATATATCTCTTCTACTTTTAATAATATATTGAAAATGTTATTAATATTGTTGAGTTGTATTTATTTTTTTGTGGAAAGCTCTGCATAATCTTGTCTCTTCTGATGATCTAAACAATAAGAAAAAAAGATAGAAAGATAAAAAAGGAGATACAGCGTATTTGTGTATGTATGTGTGTGTGTGTGTGTGTGAGAGAGAGAGAGAGAGAAAGATGAGTGAGCGAGTGCAGTGACGGTGCAAGGGGAAGATGGCGGTAATCACGGAAACGTCGGCCATTCTGACTGTAACAAGGCAGGAGGTTAGGTTAATGTTGCGATC